GAAAGCCTAAAGAGAGAAGCAGGGTGTATGCCAAAGTTCGCCCCCTTCTTTCTCTCAAACACAATTTATAGTCTGTTTAGGTGTCCATCTTTTCTCCAAGAGGCTCACCTCATCTCAGGTTAATCCTTCTCAATTTTGGCACTACTGACATTTTTGGCAGGGTAATCCTTTGTGGTAGGGAGCTGTCCTGTGCCCTGCAGGATATTTGGCAGCATCCTTGGCCTCAATATACTAGTTGCCGGTAGCACCCACCCCCTACCAGTTGTGACAACCCTAAATGTCTCCAAACATTGCCAAATGTACCCTGGGGGCAGAATTGCCTGATTGAGAACCCATGGTCCAAGCCAGTAAGCACAGGGCACTTCTCTGAAGTCAATGCCCCATGGGCCCCTGACTCAAGTTGGCTTTGACACAATGCCATGGGGACAGATTACTCCCTCCCCATCCCCACTCTAAAGTGAAGAAAAAGGATGCAGCCCACACTGCCACCAGTAGTCATTCTGCCACTCTAACCAAAATCAACAAGCTCTGCTAGGTCCTACAGCAGACACTGAGGACAGCAGAGCATGCAAAACAAAAAGACCCTACGCTTGATGACGGCACTCAGTCCTGGAGTTTAGCTATGTGAGGTATATTTCTTATGTTTAAGCCAGTTTGAGTGAAGATGCCCTACCACTTCATGGTAAAAATCATCTTAAATAATACAGTATGCAAATCTAAGGAAGGGACATGATCTTAATGGGTCTGTGTAAACCTAATGGCTATTTGAAGCCTGACTTTACCCAAAGTTCTGTCTCTATATGCAGCCTAACCCAGAACAAATGTTTAACAGGAAGCTCATCCCAAACTGTATACCTGGTAGGCTTTGTAAACCTGCTCCTCTCAGAGTCTTCTTCATCTATGTTTACCGGCAGCACCTATCTTCTAATTGTTCAGACCAAAATCCATGGGGCCATCTTTGACTCCTCTCTACATCTTACACCTCTGACAACTTCATCTTCATCCTCAACATTTACCCAGGATCCTTCCAATTCCTACCACCTTCAAGGCTTCCACTGCAGTCCAAGCCAACATTATCTTTGTTGATATTAGTTCCATAGCCCCATAAAGAGTCTCCTTCCATCCAAACTTACCTCCCTTCAGTCTGTTCTCAAAGGAGCAGCTTGAGTGATCCTGTTAAAACCATGTGTCACTGAATGCAATGTGGTATTCTGGATTGATGCCAGAATAGAAAAAGAGACATCGTTGGAATAACTAGTGAAATTCAGATAAAGTCCATAGTTTGGTTAATCATATTGTATCAAAACTGATTTCTTAGTTTTAAAAACATACCATATGTATGTAATATGTTAACATTAAGGGAAGTTGGGAGAACAGGTTTTGGGAACTCTCTATACTTTAGTTTGTAATTTTTCTGTAAATCTAAAACTAATCCAGAAAACAAGTTTCAAAAAATATTAAAATTCTTAAAATGTAAAAAAATGCTACATAATGACATTTATCTTCACAGAATTCTCCACTTGCATCTCATTTTACACAGATTAGACATCCAAGCCCTTACAATCACTCCCAAGGCCTCCCATGATGTGAGCCTTGTGCCTTTTTCTGCCTCATCTCCTTCCAACCCCAAACTCCCCTCACTGCTCCAGGCATAATGTACTTCAAAACTCAGGCATGTTTCTGCCTCAGGGCTTTTGTACCTGACATCCCATACCCAAATACTCTCATGGCTACCTCTCTCACTTTCCACAGGTCTTTACTTAAATGTCACCTTCTCAGTGAGTCTTCCTGGCCAACCTCTCTAATAGCAACCCCCTACCTCCAACACATTTTTCTCTCTGAGTTTCAGTTTTCTTCATAGCATGTATCACCATCTAATATACTATGTATTTTCTTATTTGCTGTCATTATTGTTTGTCTCCCAGTAGAACGTCAGCTCTGTGAGGGTGGAAAGTTTTGTTTCTCTTGCTCACTATTATTCCAGAATCTAGAATGGTGCCTGGCACTTAGAAGCCTTATTTGATGAATGAATGAATATGTGGGTGTAGTATTTTGTTAACTAAATTTGTTATCACAATTTTGTGGTAAAAGTACCCTCCTACATTCAACATATATCTAGAAATTCTGGGGAAAGAGAACATCACTTGTCTATAGTCCAGGAAATTAACTACCTGCAGGAATTAATGTAAAAATCTCTCATGGAACTTTCAGTTTCTGGTTCCCCATGTAAGGAGCTTGGAAGTCACCTCTCCATTCTAACAACAAGTAAAAACCTGAACAGAAGGAAAAATCAGCCATTATTCTTGGATACATGAGAGAGGGGAGGACATGGGACAAAACACTGCCCCAGAGACTGGAGAGTCAGACAGGCTAACACAGGGAGCCATAGTTTACCAGAACAGAGTCTCACAAACAGAAGCCACTGCAGGAACCAAAGCTTGGGTGCAAAAACCTGAGCCATAATTGATGAATTATTGGAGGGTCTCGGTTAGGGCAAGTCTGAGAGAGAGAAACTCCAGGTAGTCCCAGTCAGGGGGTTGAGGTGAGGGGAGGGGGAGCATAATATTGTGAGATTTACCTCCAGGAGCTCAACCAGATTCCCACAGTAAATAGCAGAGAAAAATTCCCTTGTGCTTCTGGCAGAGGGAGGGGGGAAAAGGCACCATTTTGAGATATGCAGAGCACTCTGTTATTCTTAACAAGGCCTGCCCTCAGGGGAACTAGTGAACCAGAGCCTAACCTGCTGGGGTATTATCAGAGCCTAATTGACCTGGGGAAGAGAAATATCAACTCCAGACTGCTCTGGCCATTCTGTCCCATCTAAGGAGTGGGGGGAAATAAAATACAGAGTGGAAAGGAAGAAATAAAACTGTCTTTGTTCACAGATGACATGATCATCTGTGTAGAAAATCTAAAAAATAGAAAAACTGGAACTAATAAGTGATTACAGCAAGGTTGCAAAATACAAGGTTAATATACAAAAGTCAATCACTTTCCTATATACCAGCAATGAATAATTGAATATTTAAAATTAAAAACACAATATCATTTACATTAGGTTCTAAAAAATTAAATTCTTAAGTACAAATCTAACAAAACATGTATAAGATCTATATGAGGAAAACTACAAAACTCTGATGAATGAAATCAAAGAATAACTAAATAAATGGAGAGATATTCCATGTTCATGGATAAGAAGACTCAATATTCTCAAGACATCTGTTCTTCCCAACTTAATCTATAGATTCAATGTAATTCCAATACATCTCCCAGCAAGTTATTTTGTGGATATTGACAAACTGATTCTAAAGTTTATATAGAGAGACAAAAGATCTAGAGTAGCCAACACAATATTGAAGGAGAACAAAGTTGGAGGATGGATACTATCCAATTTCAAGACCTACTATAGGACCAGCTCCAGTGGCCTAGTGGTTAAGTTCAGTGTGTTCTGCTTCAGCAGCCTAGGTTTGGTTCCCAGGCATGGACCTACACTACTTTTCTGTCAGTGGCCATGCTGTGGCAGCAGCTCACATAAAAAAGAGGAAAACTGGCAGCATATGTTAGCTCAGGGAAAATCTTTCTCAGCAAAGAAAAAAAAAAAAGACTTACTAGAAAGCTGCAGTAATCAAGACAGTGTGGTATTAGCAAAATATAGACAAATAAATCAATGGAATAGAATAGAGAGCCCAGAAATAGACCCACATAAATATAGTCAACTATTTTTTGACAAAAGAACAAAGGCAACACAATGGAGAAAAGATAATCTTTTCAACAAATGGTGTTGGAACAACAGGACTTCCACATACCAAAAAAATTACTCTAGACACAGACTGTAAATAATTTGCAAAAATTAACTCAAAATGAACTATAGACCCAAATGCAAAACACAAAACTGTAAAACTCCTAGAAGATAACATAGAAAAAATCTAGATGACCTAGGGTATGACAAAGACTTTTTAGATGCAACACCAAAGGCAAGATCCATGAAAACAGTAATGGATAATCTGAACTTCATTAAAATTAAAAACTTCTTCTGTGCAAAGACAATGTCAAGATGATGAGAAGATAAACCACAGACTGGGAGAAAATATTTGTAAAAGACTGTTATCCAAATATATAAAGAACTCTTAAAACTCAACAATAACAAAAGTAACAACTCAATTAAAGAAGTGAGCCAAAGACCTTAACAAATACCTTACCAAAAAAGATATACACATGGCAAACGAGTTTATGAAAAGATGTTCATCATATGTCATTAAGGAATAGCAAATTAAAACCAATAATGAGATACCACTACATGGCTATTAGAATGGCCAAAATTCAAAACACTGACAACACCAAATGCTGATGAGGATGTGAAGTAACAGGAACTCACTTTCATCGCTGATGGAAATGAAAAATGGTATAGCCACTTTGGAAGACAGTTTGCTAGTTTCTTACAAAACTAAACATAATCTTACCATGCAATACAGCAATCATGCTCCTTGGTATTTACCCAAATAAGTTAAAAGCATTTGTCCACAAAAAACCTGTCCAGGATTATTTATAGAAGCTTTATTCATAATTGCCAAAACTTGAAAGCAATCAAGATATCTGTCAGTAGGTGAGTGGGTAAACTGTGGCACATCCAGATGATGGAATATAATTCAGTGCTAAAAAGAAATGAGCTATCAAGCCATGACAAGACGTGGAGGAACCTTAAATGCATATTACTAAGTGAAAGAAACCAATCTGGAAAGTCTATATGATGTATGATTCCAGCTATATGACATTCTGGAAAAGAGAAACTATGGAGATAGTAAGAAGATCAGTGATAGCCAGGGGTTGGGAGGGTGGTAAGGAATGAATAGGGAAAGCAGAGGATTTTTAGGGTAATGAAACTACTCTGTATGATATTATAGTGATAGATCCATGTCATTATACATTTGTCCAAATCCATAGAATGTACAATACCAAGAGTGAACCACAACGTAAACTATGGACTTTGTGTGATTATAATGTGTCAATGTAGTTCATCAATTGTAACACAGGTACTATCTGGTGGGGGATGTTGATAATGGGGGAGGCTACCCATGTGTGGGGTCAGGGAATATATGGAAAATCTCTATATTTTCTTCTCAATTTTGCTGTGAACCTTAACTGCTCTAAAAAAAAGTCAATAAAAAAACAACAAAAAAAGATATTGATGTGCTGTATTTCCTTGGAAACACATCCAAAATATACATAGAAAAAAATCAGATTAGTAAATAATTTGTATATACTTTTGTAAATATATACATATGTATGAAAATAAAAGACTGAAAAGCAAATAAACAAACCATCAAAACCCTCATGGGTGTTACATACCTTGAAGTCCTTCCAAACATCTACTCTAAAATCTAAAATCAGTTGGATTTTCCTTTTTTTCCTCAATATACTTATCTCTAAGATAGAAAGGCCAATTCTAGGATGCAAAGATAAATAATGTCTTGGGCACTCTGCAAGTATTTTGGAATAAATTATTCTTATATAGACTCTGTGGCACAGAAATAAATTCCTTTAAAAGTAGAAAATCACAAAACCAGTGCAAATGTCTAGAAATTTCAGACAGCACCTTGAATCTGCTAGACCCTTTGAATGAAACCCAATAAAGTGAATGATTGTATTGAAGGCACAAAAGGCATGCTTCTATGAAGAATTAGTTTTACAGAACACATCTTGGTTGCCCATCTTGGTCTGTCCTCTTCCTTCTCTCACCTCCAGCCATCTTCTCCATCTACAGCTTTTCTTCTACAGCTGCTATAGAAGCCATGAGTCTACTCTTTCGCCCTTCTTTCCCTCTACTAAGAGCATGGGCTTGAATCCCTTGGTCTTGCATTCAAACCCTGTTCAAGCATTGGGTAACTGTGCGTCCTTTGGCAAATCATCAAAATTCTGTATCTCCTTTTATTCATTGTAAATCGTCTAAGAACTTACAAACTGAGTAAGTCAGTGTCAAAAACTGTCAAGTGATGTAAAGAATGGTGTTTCTGTTATTCCTATATCTTTTCCATGTTCTATTTCTTTTCAATTCCTCCTCCTCTCCTGCCTGAGTTTAAACCAAGTATCACTTTTCATTCTAATTATGCTTTGCCATTCCTAGATATTGGTGGAAGTAAAAGGACAAGAAGAGGAAAAGATGGTTGTTATAAACAGTAGTTAAGAGATATTAAGTACGTTAACTACATTTAAATTCTGGAAGTAAAACCACATTTTGACAAGTTTAGCATTAACAAGTCATCGAATCAGAGATAAAAAGCGATTTTCTGGAATACTTGAACATCGCATAAGGATGCCACAAAATAAGAACCCTACTATATCACTTTGACTACATTTCTGGTATAGGTCACCAATTTCCTTTAAGGAAGTGAATAGTGATCTTCTTCTCTTAAACATAAAGGAAATTAGGAGACAAGACAAAGATGTGTCTGCAGCCCTCAAGAGACAGAATTAAAACTCAAGTCTCCAGATCATAAATCTGAGTGCCACTAGCTCATCTCATTTCCAGTGTGTACTGCTGGGAAGTCAGATGCATGGCAGCTAAGTAAGCCTGTGAAATCTGGGCTCCACTCAGAACTGAGTATTTAGTAAGCAGTCACTCCTTAGCACTCTCTTCCCAAGAAATGCAAAGAGCTTTGCTCACTTCATTTTGTTTAGTTGACTTACACCCTCAAGAGGAAGGTAGAAACATGATTTTGCTCCTATTTTCAGATGGGGAACCAAAGTGATAATTTTTCAAAAGATTCAGATAACTAATCCAAAATCCAAGTTTCAATATTTCTGGTTATCAAGAAAACCCAGTTTCCCATGAGGTCAGTCTCTTGTTCAGACTAGCCCTAGATTTACTCTTGAAACCCCATGAAACTCACATTCTTGTTATGAGTAAAAATCCCAGCAAACTATTAATAGAGTTACAAATATATATGCATTTTTTCAATTCCATGCTATCAATCTTGTAGCCTATGTTATTCTTCAGTGCTATATAACTTTAACAAGATAGTGATTGGATCATATTATGTAAAAATATATTTTAAAGCCCAATCTTGGATGGGAAAAGTCAGTGAGACCTAGTGAAAATGCATACCACCTTCCAGGCCATGATACCGGTCTAGTCACACCTGGCCAGGTACTTGCTACAGCACTACTCTGAGCCCCAGCTGGTACATCTTTGATTTTAGAAAGGATAAGGGGTGATAATTTTTCTCAGTATGGGCTTTACCTAGGGCTAGTCTCCCAGTCTACTTATGCCACAACTCTTGAGTCACTGGAGGATGCAAAATCAAAATTTCCCTTCATGTTGACACATCCACTGTTTGCCCCATAGTTTCCATCTTCTAAGTTTTTCTTATGTATTGCCTTGTAATAAATGCATGTTCCTGCCTGACCCATGTAAAGTCATGCAGCACTGTTCTCCCCATGACTTAGAGTGGCCATGTGGGTCAGATAGACTTGAGATCACTTGTTAAAACATGAAAGCATCCTTCAAAGCAAGGTGTTATTGACATCTTTGCTTGTATTTGCTACCTAAACCAAAAGCTCCTTTCTCAGCCAAAATGCTTAGAAAGGGAATGAATATGGTGACCTGCATCTGAGAAGGTGTTGTTCTGCTGGGAGGCTGCCCACATAAGCACATCTCAGGATGGCTTCATCATTCCCCAGGTAGGTGCCCCTGGATCAGTGAGCCACACTCGGGCAGAACAGTGTTTTCTCCATCGTGTGTGGAGAGTTTGTGTGTGACACATTTATTTTGAACATTTCTGAAATCAAGATTGACCCAGGAAATCACTGTGTCGTAATTGCTGAGGAGTCAATTAGGAGATCAGTTGTCCAACCCAGACCCTCTGTGATCAGTGATGACAACATGCCTTCTCTCAGGATGTATGTCCTTTATCTGGACGTTGCCACCATCCCCAACCTGTGGGAGGAGATGCAGCTTTACACTATTCATCATCAGTTCAGTTGTCTGGTCATGTTGCACATGAAGCTTGTCTATATCTAGGAATAGGTTTAGAACTCTTGGCTTCCAGCTCCAATATGAAGTTCAAATAATAAGGCTGATGCGCAGGTACAAAATTTGATCTTCACTTCCAGGTGTTGTCATACCACGCTTACTGAATGTTGGTCTTATTCCACTTTTTTGCTTTGCTTTGTTTCTGACAATGGGACTCTACCAACTTCTCTGAGCTGCTCTTCAGATTGAGACACATGTATCTCTGCAGAATAAATAAATAACAGCCAACTGCCACCCTGGAGTCACCCAGTCACAGCCAGTGTGCCCAAAGAAATTATTATAGACCACATCTTCCACCTGGTATGCGAAATACTGTTTAAACCCTGATGTAAGTCACCAGGAAATCCTGACCTATTTTAAATTCATTGATCAATAAAGTGGAGCCAGATTTTTAAACTTGGTCTGTCAATGCTTCTCCACTCATAGGGTTACTCCCAGCTGAGCTCTGAGACTGCAGCATTCTTAGACAAACACCTGAAGTAGGTAAGGTAATTAGAGATAAGCTGACATTGGTGCTACAGGCAGGTAGTGGGTACCTCTTCCATCTGGGGCTTTGGAAGCAAACTAATTTTATTTAAAATATTTTCTAAGTTTTTTTCTTGAAGAGCTAGCACTCCTCATAATTAAGCTTCTGGAAAATATATGAAAAATCAAAAGTAAGATTTTTTTCCCCACAAGGAACATTACTTAATATACTTTCCTACTTAAATTTTTTTCTTATAATTAAAGATGGATATGGAGGTGATGGTAGAAACAAATAAGAACGTCAACCAAGTCTAAGTCCTCCTCCTTCCACTTCTGTGCAAGGTTGAATAGATGACCTAAAAGGAATCAAAGAAGACTCTCAGACTAGATACATCCATTTGCATCATGGCAAAACCTTAAGGCATTTTGTCTTCTCCTATACTGCAATTATCATACCTTTCTTAGGGTAGGTTTTTAGATATTTCTTCTAATAATTGCCTCCTTCTTACCAGAATATTTCTCTTTGAATTCTCTTTTGAACATTCTATCATCATGCTTCGTAAGACCTAGAAAACAAGCAGGAACTCTTGAAAAAACTGAAGCTTAGCAGACCCAGGGGGCAGACAGAGAGAGAGAGAGAGAGTTTAGGAAAATGGAATCTAGAACAGGAAAAGTAACAGAAAAGTGTAGAAACCTTCAAAACACAAACTAGGATTAATTCCATCTAACCTCCTTCCACAGCTTTATTGATAAGGAGTCTTAAGTGGAAAGATGGTTTTTCAAAAAGAATGATCCTGGTAGAAGACAGAAAAAGCAAAAAAGAGACAAGTCAGGAGCAACAGAGGAAAGAAAAGAAGGTTTATAACACCTTCAGTAGGGTTCAATGACAGAAGTGACACCTTGAGGTCTAAATCACAGTGCAAAAAACACTTCAAGATTTCACATATATTTGGATTCATGAATTTTCAAAAGTTGAGTCTCTATTTCTGTCTTTCTCCTTCATTCTTCAATATTCTACAAAACTAAGTATAATTATTTGGAGAAAGTCATCCATAACTGCATGGGTTCAAGTACTAGTTCCTGAATATAAACTCCTGCATTATGCAAAAAAAGAAAAGAAAAAAATGGATGCTCCTCTGCTTTATTTAACTAATTCATCACCACAAGTTCAAGTAAATACAAAACAGATTCAGTGTACAGAAAATATCAAAAGGATACTGCTTAAAGAGGCCAATCGCCTTTAAGGTTATATTTTGGAGGAGATTCCTCTGCTTTCATTTAAAATACAAGTTTGAATTTGAAAGGATGGCCTAAGATGGAGATAATCTGCCAATATTCCTCAGGAAGACTCTCTTCCAGAGACCTTTACTAATAGAGTCAGTGTTCCTCTCCACTGGGGCCTGGGAATATCAGCCTACTTCAGCTCAGCCCTCAAACTGTGGTCACTTCCTTCACTTCACAGTGCCTACATAGCTGGGTCTCTGTCCAGAGCTCCTCATGAAGTCTCTGGTTGGTTGCTGCTATTTCTGACATCCCTGACTCAGACTCTGCTATTCACACAGGTCCAATTCTTCCTTTGAAAACTGACCTCCTTCCACTTCAGCCTGGAGTATCCATAGCATCCTTTGAACAGGGAGGCCAGAAGTTGGAATCCCAGCTCTGCCCCAAACTGTATGACAGTTCTCAGTTTCCACATCTGTAAAACTGGAATAATACAGACCTCACAGGACTTTGTGGGATTAAATAAATGATATGTAAAAGAAGAGGACACAGACTTTTGGCAAATTTTGGTTCCTCCCTTCCCTACCCCTCACCCCAATCCCATCCCTCCCTGCTGACCCCTTTCTCCTCCCGACTCCCAGTTCCAACTTTCTTACCATACTTGTCCTGTGGTTCCTCCATTCCAGTGTACTACTCCATGATGCTACCACAAAGCAAGCAGAGGGGCTGAGAAAAGCCTCAAGGGCCACTGCACTAAAGTGGACAGTTATCTGTGAGGCAGAGGTAAGGGTACTAGTCCTGGACTCAGAGTCTCTGATGTGAGACACATCACCAGCAGTCTCGACATCAGGTATTTGTTGTCTCTGAGCCAAGGTTCTGCATTTGGAAAGTGCCTCTAATAATATCAGTCGTTCTTCTGTCGCAAAGTTAGTACAAAGATGCAATAAGAACAGGAATGAAGAAACACACTGCAAATTATAAGCACTGTGCAAAAGCTAGAATTCACTTTTAGACTCACTCTGCAAGTAAAGCACGAACTTGGTTGTGGAAACACTACTGGGAGGGAGCCAGGAACACAGCTCAAGGCTGTGTGGGTCCAAAGTCTACGCCCCAGCCCTGCCCTAACTACTGCTCATTGAGGACAGTGCCCCACTTATTTCAAGCAGTTCTTCTCTTTCCCAGATTGACCCCTTCAGCCCCACAACCGTGTGCAGTCAGCATTGTCCCCAGGTACAGATCTGGGAACCAGACTTGGGGCGGGTTACTTACCTGCTCCAGCGGTATGCCAGTGCAGAGCTGGATCACTTTCAGGTCTTCTGGCTCCATCCCAGCTCTTTTCACCTGACTTTACACTTTTTATCTCTGTACCACCACCATCTCATTGAATGCTAAAAGAAGCGTTTCATTCTGTTCATCTTATCTTTTACAATACCGTTCTGCTAAAATTCTTTGGAATATTTTGTTCTCTTCAGTTCCCCTTGGCACTTTGAAAATCACGAAAAGAGAAAGAAGTCCTAAACTATTAACTTAAAAATGGATATTGTTGCAGTCATCCCAAGCCATTTCTTTTAAAAACAGATCAATAACCTAAAACAACAAGTTACACTTTGGCACCTCTGGCCTTCACAGGCTGGGAAGAGCAACTGCAGTCAGAGAGGATCAAAGGCTCCAGCCTGCATGTCCTATACTCCCAGGTCCCCCGGCTGGTTCCCTGCCCACCTGCCCACGTCCATATTTCTCCTCCATATGCTCTGCCACCTGCTGTGAGTCTGTGACCCTTTCTTGTGGGCCAGCCCACCTGTTGGTTCCTGACTGCCCCTTCTGTTCCCTCCTCTCCCACTAAATCATGACCAGGATGGTTTTCAGGGCTGAGTCATCTCCCTCACTGTCTGGCAGTCATCCACCCTGGCCAAACTCCACTGAAAGTGACTTTCCTCCCTGGACTCCAGCCGTCCTGGCACATGCCCGCTCCAGCCCCCACTCCCGCTGCTGCTCTCACTGTGCCGCCTGACACGGGGATTTGGTGGTGTTTGGAGAATCCTGCCACCTGCTTCAGTCTTGAACTTCCAGTCAGCTGTTTGCTCCATCTGCTTAGAAGCCCCTAGTGTGTTCACAATGGAGTTTTTTCCCCTTTGTCACAGTGTATAACCTCTAATGTCAAGGCTGTGGCTCAAACCCAAATTCAAAACTGTGTGATATTTAACGTCCTGTGAGAATACGAGAAAATGTAGAACTTTTAGAGTTTTTTTGACATAGACCTGCCTGTGCACACCACAACCCTCAGAGTTTCCAAAGGAGGGTCTGGGACTTCTATGTTCACTCAGAAGCTGCCTAGAAGAATTCCCTGTTTGTGTGTCTGAGGATGGAAGGAGAACGTTTGATGCTTTGCAGAGAAAGGAATGGGAAGGAGTAGAAGAAGAAAGAGGCTATGATATGTGGAGGTATAAAGAACAGTACGAGAGGGAAGAGACAGAGTTAAGTGAAAAGGATTAAATAAGAGGGATATGATTATTTTAAAGTAAAATTCATCAATTTCAGGAGATTTTCCATTTCCAATGCAATTTAGAGCAGAAAATGTAAGATAACTTTGAATTAGCTGATATGATAATGCTAAGTGATTTTTCTATACTGTAGTAAAAAAAAATACAATCAATAACTATACTCTTTGGTATCTTTTAACAAAAAGTTAACATATAATTTTATCTTCATGCTTTCCTCATGGCGAAGTAGGGGACATGCCATGGTTCCCCATAGGCATGCTTGGACGCTGGCAGTCACCCATCTCTCACCGCGGCCCAGGACAGGCACTTCGTAACCCAGACAGAGCCTTAGGAAATCACCCCTACATGTTAAGAGAGCAGAATATTTCTCAGAAGTGAGAGCACCTGCCAACAGTTGCTCACATTAACACAGAGGCCAAAGTCACCCCACTGCCTAGCTTTTTATGGGCTCACAAAAGCCAAACTTGATCAATCACAAGGACAAAAGGAAAGTGGCTGGCTTTCCTCCCACCCCATGCAGTGAACCCTGACACTTGCCCAGCGTGTGAATGTAGCAACGTGTCGGAGTCGCACACAGGAACAACTACCTACTGACTCTATCACCACTGCTATGTGTGAGCAGCAGGCTTTCAGCCCGATGAAAGAATGCTCCAGAATGTATGCAACAGAGCCACAGCTGGAAAAGTCATTGAAATGTAATATCAATCCCAAAATAGTCATAATTTATTTTTTGAGACTTATAAATGGTTAAAGAAATGGAATCTACCTTCGGGAAATAATGTTTCTTTATGTCTCATCAGCTCCCATTTTCCCCCAAAGATTAAAACAAATGATGCTGTGGTAGTAAATCATCTTTGTCAGCTTTGAGCAGCCCTGGCGCCCTCCTCTCCAAGTTGTTGGATTAGACAAGCCATCCCCAGTTGTGAAGGGACTGTCACTTGTCTTCAGAAAGGAAGCAGGGAAAGAAGGAAGGGGTCAGAGCTGGGGAGCAATGGCAGCACATGAGAGCTAAGATACAGCTTTCTCAGAAGTGACAGTTCCATGGTGTGGCTTCAGGGAGCCTCCCACTTCCTCGATTGCATTGATGAAACTTCTTTGGCCAGTGCTCGTCCCATCCTTGCCTGTTGGCCAGAGCCCCACTGTCTGGACATGCCCAGGCTGCTGGCCTCCTGCTGAGGTCAGCTGCCCGTTGTTGGTGGGCAGATTAAGAACTCCATACTAGCAGTTAATGAGTCATTGTGGCTTCCTACTCTTAGGTCTACATAACAGTCATCTGAATTTAAGAAATATATAACTGAGTTCATGAAAAATGGGTTAATCTGCTCCTTCTTTTGCGTATTCATTCAACAAGCATTTATTAAGTTCCTACCACCTGCCATGCACTTTGCTAGGTGCTGGCACAAACAGCATACAAAAATACATGGGCCTGGTCTCTCGCAATCAAGCAGGAAAAAAAAAATCACTTTCTAATGACCCAAATAATTATCTGCTTACAGCTAGGATGAGTGTTTTGAAGAAAAATAAAGGATGTTGTGAGCATATAAACCAGAGGGTCCTCACTTGGCCATGGGGAGAGCTGTAAAAGACTTCCTCAGACAGTGACATTTAAACATCCTCATTTGGAGGATGAGGAGTCGGCCAGGCCAGGAAGTGGTGAGTGGGGGCCAGGGGTAAGGTAGAAGAAAGAAAATATTCCAAGCAGACAGAGGAGCATTGTAAAGATCCAGAGATGGGCCTGGAAACAAGCACAGAACAAAGGGAAGTGTGGTTGTCGGGACTACCTGGCACCATTTGGTAGGGGCTCTGTGCAACCCATATTGTCTACATTGGGAATGGCACCCTGCACAGCCTCATGTAGCAGGTTGGAGAGCAGTAAGTATGGAATGAACAAGAAGGCAAGGACCAGATTATACAGGAACTTTGTGTCCTTTAGGAATATGTTTAGCTGCAAGGAAGAGAATATCCGGGAAGCCTGCACAAACATGAACTTATTCTCACAGAAAGCGGCTGGGCTCAAGCTGGCCAGGGCTTGTCCAACAATGCCATCACTCCCTGTCTTCTCCACTCTACTATCAGTAGCACATTGACCTTTTTCCTATGGTACCACAGTGGCTTCAGCACCTCCAGGCACCACTTCTTGTCTAATCAAGTAAAGGGGCTATGGGGAATGGGGAGGGGTTGTGGCCCAGGTGGCCAACTTTGCTCTATTTTCCTCAGAAAGCTACATGTTTTCTTGGAAACTTTACTCAGGGAAGGTATCTAAGGAGAAGAGCGTGTGGGTGGGGCTAAATTGGCCAATCAACATCTGCCGCAACCTCATTTGGCTGTGCTAAGGGTTTGAGGATGTAAAATTTGAAGATCTCAAACCACTGTTCAGCAGTTACACTCTCAAACAAATCACTTTAGTGCCACATTTCTAATAAGTGTATAAGGTTCTGGAGATGATTAGCATGGCATCACCCCCATATTTCTATTTCACTCTGATTGGCTTTCATTCCTTGAAGAAACAGAAAGGGACCAAGTCTCCTTCATCTTTGCATCCCCAACATCTAGCACCAGTCTTGATATTTAACACTCAGTAAATATATGCTCATCCATGGAACAAATATATATCAGCTGCCAAGGTGTGCCACATATGGTTCTAGGTGTAGGAGGTTTACTGTTAATACATTCATTTAGAAGCTGTTTCGGGGAGGCCTACCACTCTCCATAAACTGTTTAACTTGTTCAACTTTTTCAAACTGGCAACTGACTGGTTAGAATTTCTCCTTGCACCATCTCTATGGAAATGGCACTAGAGAAGGAAGAAAACTCCTCTTACAACTTGAATGATGGAGTGTGAAAGAACATTCTACATTCTTTATTATTCCCTTAGAATAGAGTTAAAGGGAAAAATAAACCATAATCCTGCCACTGCAGGAATCTCATTTTTGTCTAGTAAACGGACTAGTAAATGAACTTGCCACAATTATTTTTCCTCTTTTCTACAAATAACAATATTTAAATTCATTCCAGGATGGATATGTATTGTTATGTACCATGAGATATTATATTCTTCTATAAAAATATAAGATATCAGATCCTCATCTTCCCCACCTGCTCCTCATCCCTTGATGGGCCTGATGAATTTCCCCTGAATGCTGACAAAATCTCAATTGCCACCTGTGAACATTCACAGAAAAATGATGGACAACTCTACATGGCCATAAACCATACGCCTACACAAGAGAATAAATGAAACTAGCTGAGTAGGAAGCACACTTTTTCTTTTTAATAGTCTATAAAATGGAAGTATTACGTGTCTTGAGAAAATACGAAACTCTCCCAGAGTAATGCAGTAGAAAGTCAGTCTCTAAACTGTTTGACCAATACACTTTACCATTCCCTAGCTGACTTTTCTGTTTCCAATAAGATAGCAATTAAATGCATGGTTAAGCTGAAAAGGTCAAGAATATGCAAGCAACACTTAAAATGAAAATTACAAATCTTTGAAAAGCTGGAATAAAATCAGGTAAAACTGCCCATGAATTAGGTAAAAATGCTGAAACATGAAGGTCAGTAATATCATCAAACAGGCTGCCACATCTCTATTTCAGTCCTCATAGCAACCCTATCACGTGTTCTAGTCACCATTATTTGAAATTTATGGAGTCAGGTAACTTGCACAAGCTCACACAGTAGATGGGGAAGGGAAATCTTCAATATGGTTCTTTCAACTCCAACACTAGTGCTACTCTACAATTTAATATCACCTTTTCTCTTCAAAATATAAAAGAAGAAATATTGCTTCCAATTTTGTTTCTCCTCATATTTCAATAATAACAATAAATGGCAATACTATGACAATTCTATAATAAGGAAGTTTTTTTAATGGAAGTAAGAATGTCATTGTCATCAAACAGCATACTGTACCTTTGAAGTTATTAATGGCATTTTAGGAGGACAGCTACCTAAAATTGCAATGACATCATGAATCAACATTCTCCTTGACGCCTGTTCCTTTATTGATTAAAAAACAGAGTCGTTTCAATTCTTCATCAAGCCATACTGACCCAACCTTACAATGAACAGGCAATCTGTTGTAGGAATCGAATCCATCGTAGTGGCACAAATGAATAATTATAAAGTCTGGAAATATGAGTTATTTGATAAGAAGTCTTATAGCATACAAAACTTTGCTAGAAGGATAAAAGTATGCATGTGTCTGTTTTGGGAGTGAGGCTGATTTAACTTAACTAAAACACGTCCTAAACATCTCTTTTCGTAGACAGACTCTGAAAGTAAATAAGTCCTGAAATCCATTTCCATTTATCCCTTGTCCAGTAACAATATTCAACACATTTTGAGTAAAGGGGACCACATATCTTTTCTCTTTTTAAAAGTCAATCTTTGTATTGTCAGAGCCAGCAGTCCATATGGCCAGGATAATATAGACCTTATGTAGTCTGGGCCCTGAGTCCTGGTAGCAACCCATGAAATTCAAAGAATTCTTTAATACATGTGTGTGTACACACCATGGCCACATACACACACATGTGCAGTTTCAACATGATTGAAGTAGTATGATAAAATACCTTATACAAATACTTGGAATCAAAAGAATGCTAGCCTGAAAAACCAATATCAGTTTCTAAAGATGTAAAACCGAGCTCAAAATTACCTAAACACACTAAATATATAAAGAAAACTAAGTCCAATGTTCATGTCTATTTTTTTAATAAAAATAGACTTACGCCTAGACACATATAGAAGAAAAAATGGTTTCAGTTCTCTTCAACAAGAAAAAACATACAGTGCAATTATTAGCAATACTATGGCAAAATTGAAAACAAATGTCAAAAAGTATTTCACTACTGCTCATTATTGTCTATATCTAATGATCTGAACAACACTGTAAACTCTCAAACAATTTACAAAGTATTTTTCATGTATTGTCCCATTTGATGACATCTGAAAGACTCAGAACTTGTGGTGTAGGCAGGACAGTTGTCCCATCTCCTTTTCAGCATTGAGACTCTGAGCCTCAGGAAAGTGAACTGACTCGCCCCAAGATATGCAGAGCTGCATCTCCCAGGGCTCTTTCTGCTGTA